TCTTCTAGGTAGGCATTTGATATCTCCAGTAGAGCAATTATTTCATCTGCGAAAAATGAGTAATGTAGTCGATGGTCATAGCAAATATAACTCCACTCAATCGCCAATCCCACCAAAGAATGTAATATGGGAAAGTACCCGGCCTTCCTTGAAATTCACACCGTCCCTTTGACCCAAGGGCGCTCGAGGCATTGTGGCGTAGTGGTTAACGTGCCGAGATTACACGTAGCCCCGTCATGGTTCGCGTCCTGCTGGAGGCTTTGAGGATACCATTTGAGGCGGGTTCGAGATGCAGTCCACTCATGCCTAGATGGGAATACCTTTTTAAAATCAAGGTTCTATGAAATCCAATGGAAATATGAGGACTGCTCATTATAATATTTAACTATTAAACCTTAGACAATACAAAATTTTGTCTTTAAGTGATCACTACTAAGTAATAAGGTCTGAGTAGTACGAATGCGGTAATTTAGAGCTGTCCATACACACAGTTATAGAACTTGTGCTCCCCTTTCTTGAGCCGTCAGGTATATTTGTACCACTCCTCAAGATTTGCTCCCTTCCTGTCGAGTCGATTAAGTCAAAGGACGACTTAAAACGCAAGGTTGAGACCATGTTGAATCCATCGTGAGGCCTCTGCTTTCATGACTCTCTGAGTTGTGCAGACAAATGGAGTCTGTTGAGGCATCGTCAAAGTCGAAAGTGATGCAATTCCTGGAAAATTGGACCAGAATATGATTGTATCTTGACCCCTCTGCGATAGGGCTAATTAGATTGGCAGTAACCAGAGCCAGAAGTCTGTACCACCTCCTTTAGATTAGTTATCGGTCGAATCGCCTTGACGGTAAAGGTTTGCTGTACTGCTGAAACTTTATTTGTGTTCACATCAAGGCAACAGGACAACAGGTCAGGCTTGAGGCTGAGATGGCGGAGCTTAGTCATCCGAATACAGTCGCCATCGCAGCATAAAATGAAACCGACTTGACGGCCTGTCCTCATGTTTAATGTGTTTTTTTTTAGGTTTTGGGACAAGGAGAACTCCGAAACTGTTGGATGGACCTTGATGAGAGACATCAACAAACCCTGAGGTAACGCAATCAGTGGCTATTTTGGGTCAAATTGCAAGTTCACTTCCCTCTAGAACTGATGAATCATCCTGTGAACTCATGAAACTCTGCTCCCCTGAGAGGACAGAACTGGCGAGTTGTTGCGGGGGCGACTGAGTCCGATGCGACACCTACGTGCAAGTGGGAGGGGCAGGTTTCCCAAATAGCTCTGCCTTCTTTTAAGAGATCGTGACCCTCATTTGCAGTGGACAACAGAGTTTAAGCAGCAAAAGAATGTTTGATATAAACTAAAACGAACAGAGACACATCAGATGAAGGGAAATAACTGCCTCCCTAAATAGCAGATATGAAGAAGAAAAAGGGCAAGAAGAAGAGCAACTGGCGGTAGGGAAGGCAGATCGCCGATTGCTAAGCATGGAGAAAGAGTCGATAGTAGAGAGACGGTCATCTCGAAGTGGTAGTGAAATCTTGAAATAGAATTAGAAACCAAGGCCCGTTGAAAATAATTATATTCAGTCCGTCCCGCTTGGGACCACAGAGTAAGCTCAAAACTTTTTTATTTCTAATTAAATGTGAAGATGTCCCTTCACAAGTTCCTCAACTTAACTGCGTCAGATCATCCATTTAATAGCGACTCATCGGGGCACTCCAACCTGACTTACTCCTCAGCTTCATGCAACAAGAGGACACCGAAATGACCTAACCTTTGTGGGCCGAAAGACACGATCTAATTTCGATACATGCAGGGACAATTTCAGCTCAGAATCTGGGTAGAAGAAGCGAAAATTCTTACAT